GTTATTGTTCAATAATTTCGATTTCATTGTATGAACAGGTGTTTAAGCGTTTTTTAAATGTTGTGCAATATAATTAGAGAGAAATGCTTTATTTATTTTGAGAAGTGAAACTAGTAAAAATTTAAATTAAGAATAATTGCTGGGAATAAAATTTATACAAATTCTAAGGGAAGTAAAATGTTATATGTATAAAGTTGCCACACATTAACATAAACTTGCGAACATTAATAAACATTTGGTACTCGCAATAAAATCAGCTTTCGAGTGAAAATTGAATAAGTGGTTCGAAGTATCGACGAGTTCCGTATATTACTTTTAAACGTCGCAAGACATTCACGTGGCCGCTGCAACGACCAACTTCGCTGATACGTTCCCGTTCCGACTCAAAAGACCGCCCAAGTTTTCCTCATGCGATTCATGAGTAACAAATTTGAATTACGTATTCGAAACTCGGAATTGCTTTCCGATATTTACTGAATTCCGAACAACAACTTTCAGCTTACAATCTGTCAAAGAAATAAATCCGTCTAGCGCCTTCCACGTATCACATAATCGCCGACAAGTTTCTTTAACAAGTAAGTGATGAGGTGTATTCCTGCGTGCTAACGATTAAGACACACAAAGTGACTTGTCCCTCCCTGTAAATAGCATTACCCCGCCTTTGCAAACACGCCGTGACGTCATCAGTACACATTACTTCCAATATATTGTTCAACTTATCACGTATTTAGCCACGCAGTTTTAAATCACTTCTTATAAGCGATATATAGACGTTGGGTCTTGAGAAGTATATATGTTACGGGAATGCTAGAAGGTGGAGTAAACCTAGGTTTACTCGGGTTGACTTAGATACCCAAGCTTCTTGGGAAAGTCCGAATAATAAGTAAAATAAATTTAAATTCGGGGTTTACCCATGCTCACCTAGGTCTACCCAACTCTGTCTGGGTAATGTGTTGGCTAAATTTTAACAACAGTTTAGCAAATTTTGCATTAGTCTTGTTGGCAACACTGGCCACGCCGCCGCTTGCTTAGTGACAAAATGGCGACCGAACAGAGGCACGTTCTTTTCGAGAGCGTTTTGATACAAAATTTCAAGAGTTATTCTCAGCGAAAGGATTAAATTCTTTTACTTTAGTAACGAACAGTATTTGGAAATAATTAATTCGGTAAAAAGTGCAAAAGAAGCTAAATCGAAAACTACTTTACAATACCGGCGATTGAAGCGTTTTGATTTGTGCTCGGTAAGTGGCGTCGAGAAACTGATTGCTCCTCTATCTTCAAGTGAGACAACAATTAAATATACGTGACTAATGATGAAATGTTCGATATTTTGCATGAAACTCATTTGGCTGTTGGACATGGAGGAAAACATCGAATGGAAAAAGAATGTAAAAAAAATATAAAAATATTACTCAAGAAGTAATCAAATTATATTTACGACTATGCGAACCATGCCAAAAAAAGAAAGTCTGCTAAAAAAGGAATTGTTGTCAAACCATTGGTGTCAACAGAAATGAATAGTCGCTGTCAAGTAGATTTAATTGACATGCAGTCTAACCCTGACGGCGACTTCAAATTCATAATGGTCTATCAAGATCATTTGACAAAGTTTGTACAGCTGCGCGCGTTAACATCTAAACGAGCCGTAGAAGTTGCTTATAAGCTTTTGGACAATTTTGTATTTTTGGCGCACCTTCAATTCTTCAATCAGACAATGGCCGCGAGTTTGCAAATCACGTAATAGAAGAGTTGTGCTCGATGTGGAGCGGTCTGAAGATAGACATGGCAAACCTCGCCAAGTCAGTCCAAGGTAGTGTGGAAAGAGCAAATCAAGACGTACAAAATATGCTTAGACGTGGATGAACGACGAAAATTGTAAGCGTTGGTCAGAAGGTTTGAAGTTCGTACAATTAATGAAAAATAGGGCATTCCACGATGGAATAAAACGAGCTCCTTATACCGCCATGTTCGGTAGTGATGTCAAGGTGGGTTAGCGTCGTCTTCTCTTCCAAAAGAAGTATTGTCAATATTCACACTGAGGAAGAGCTCGAGAAAATGTTGACGGAATTTACTACCGAAGCAGAATCTAGTCCAGAATCCCAAGAAGAAGGACCGGAATCTAGACAAGAATCTCAAGAAGATTTACTAAATGTAGAGCTGGAATCAGAGAATTACCACTTACAGAACACGGAGATGAGAAGCGATATCGAAACAGAAGTTTTAAATACAAAAGAAGGTGAAAGGAACGTTTTATTAGAAATAAATTCAGAAGAAACGGCCAAAAAGAAAGACGAATTAGAGTGTAGTAGATGTATGAACCCAGGCACAAGTACACAAGAAATAAACTTATGTGAAATTTTACTACCAACAAAATATAAATAAACATAGATTATCTGCCCGATTGAGCTTAGAAAATCAAGCTAAGAAAATGAAAGCCTTATCTAATTTAAAATTTCCTCCATGTTCTGTTGGAGATACGGTGAGAGTCCAAATACCAGATGTCGATAGAGGAAGAGGCGAGTTTCGGAACGTGCTTATGGTAGTTATAGAAAAAGCTGGTGATCTGTATAGGCTAGGAAACGAACGTGGTACTATTGAGGAAATGTTCTCAAGGAATCAGTTTTCTGTGTGTCATGATAAACTGATTGATATCGAAAATATATCACCAGAAAAAAAAGTTTACGAGAGCTTGCAAATGAACAGTCGCTATCAGGAGGCCAGGGTTATAAAAGGGTAATTGCAAAACAAAATGTGCCACAAAGAAGTGTTCATGCAAAGCTGCAGGAAAATTATGCAACTCAAAATGTCACAGCAGTTTATCTTGCTCAAATAAAAATTTTATGTTTGTATGTTTTTCAGATAATAAATGTTTAAAATGGCCTTGGATTTTCATTTCACTAATTAATTAGACAAATTTTTAACATTACCCAGCCAGAGTTGGGTAGACCTAGGTTGGGTTGAGTAGAGCATGGGTAAACCCCGAATTTAAATTTATTTTACTTATTATTCGGACTTTACCCAAGAAGCTTGGGTAATACTAAGTCAACCCGAGTAAACCTAGGTTTACTCCACCTTCTAGCATTACCCGTAACATATATACTAGAACAAAGCTATCACATTATTTTAGAGGCATTATTAATATCGTATTTGACATGACGTAGCACAAGACCTAGTTGGTATTTCACGCTCGACCGAATGTCATTGAGTGGGAATTGAGGATACTATAGTAATAAAATAAAAGTTCAGTATCGTTATAAGGCTTTATTTTGAAGATTTTTTTAAATAAAAACAGCCAAGTTCATAGATGTAACATTAAAAATAAATGAGCAAGATTCTTAACAGGGTCGAGAAAAGAAAAGTTATTTCCGAACCAATTCAACTTGGGGTCCTAATAGAGGCTCTTAAAAGGCCGACAACGCACTCGCGATATCTCTGGTATGAAGGTGAGGCTTCTGTCCGTTTGAATTTATGATTTTGTAGTCCCTGTTCTTTAATACTTAGATACTTCTACATGGGAAAACAGGCAAAGGAAGGCAGCGTCTAGGGCAGGATGACAAGAAAAATAGATGGAATGACTTTGCCGTGAACGACACGGTAATGCTATACGGGAAAGCCAGTTAATCATTTACATATATTTGTAATAGTCAAAGTCAAAGTCAAAATCATGTATTCATTTAGGTAACACAATGTACACTTACGAACGTCAATAAAGAAATACATATTAAATCCTAAATGCTTCTAATTTTACATTTATTGCCAGTTCTCAAATCAAGCGCGTAGAACGAAAGAGAAGGACTTGCAATAAACTCTCCGCCACTCTTTTTAATCGCCAAGTTTTTTGTATTACACAATGTTTGTAAAGCTGCAACCATTACACCATGTTCCACGTGACATCTTAAGTCATTAAAAATAATAAAATAAATTAAAATACAAAGATTTTTCCTCCAGCAGTAGCCATGGTAAAATAGGAGCAGGTACTTACATTCTCGCGGCAACAACACCCAAATACATAGTCGAAATAACTAACATCTATAGAAATTAACTTCAGTTGTACTCCATCGATTAAATATAGTGTTTATGAGGAAGCGATTTCCATTTATGCGGGTCTGTAAATGGATTAAAGTGGTCAGTCAGCGTTACAATTCAAACTTATCTGCGGGTGTGACAATCGCGGAGGCGTTTCAGACAAATAGTGCGATTCTTATTTCATAGCCTTCATTCGCACTGCATTTGTTATTTATAGGCAAATGCTATTGTAGCTTTTCATATGCCCTTCTGAAGTTACATATATATGCAACTAATGTTTTACTTACCAATCTTTAGACTTTATTTAATTCTTTGTTAAACTTTTTGACTTTTTATTCCACTTAGGGTCAAGAAAAATGCAAACCAATTTTTAAAAGGCCGGCAACTCGCGAGCCCTCTGGCATTGAGAGTGTCCATGGGCGGCGGTATCACTTAACATCAGGTGAGCCTCTTGCCCGTTTGCCCCATGTTCTATAAAAAAAAAAAAACCTTTAGCACTTATCCGGAGCTGGATACATTCGCCAGTGGGCTGATCGGTTTTAAAGAATGCATTGTTAAGTGCCTATCTCGAACCTTATTCGCTGTTTTGCTGGTAATATTTTTGTACTTAACAAAAGTTTCTGGTATTTTTATTTTAACTTGTATATATTTTGATGTTTTTTTTTGTAACATTTTAGATAAAATAGTTTGTAACATATACCGTAAATTTAATACTATGTATGATGTGGTAAAGTTTAATAAATAAATAAAAATAAACACTTTTTGGACTACTCAGAGTTACTTTTCCAGCTCAATTTCTTTATTACGATGAATATAAGTTGAAATATATTTAATTGTGTTATGTATGAACCGATTCACATGTATCACGTGTTTGTATAGATTTTATGGAAACTCTATACGTAGGCGAGCTGAAATGTAACGCTGAGAGAATAGGGGAACAGCATTGTCACTGACCACGAAAAAAGTTTCGGGTTTCACGTTGCCTTTGTATTCCACTCGTAGATAAATGGGGCATTTTCGTGAAATTCGTCCGCGTCACTTCTCGTAACAATGGCGAAGATAAATAATCTCTGCGTAAGAAAAGGATTTCGTAAACATAATTATTTGAACTCGCAATTGTTACTCAGGCTAATGAAAGCCTCTTGGGGACGTTCGAAAATCAACTTTATTCCTTATGTTATAGAATTTTAGTATAAATATAATGCATCCATTTTATATTACATGGAAAATATTCATCAAAAATCTGGTTGAGAAAACGTAAAACAAAAGACGAATCGTTTGCAGATTTAAATGTTATTTATCAAACGGTGGTACATTATACCCTTGATATATACTAAACAAAAATGACGCGCTACTGTTTTCCAAAGCTCCATTAAATTATATACGAAAATGTTTCAATATATAGTGTGAAGTTATAAAACCCATACAAATTCTAATAGGACACTGTTAAAACGTAAAGGTCAAAAGCAAATATCCTCTAGGTTTTTTCGTTATTTGTTTTTATGTAACAAAGGGCTTCGCATTACGCAAGTCACCTTCACACCTGCTAGTTTTTTAATATAAGAAAGGAAAGTGCAGATTATGAATGTGTCTTCGATATCGAATATCAGAGACATCTGTTGGCGCGTGGGGTTGACAGGGGGCGGCCCCCAAGCCCAGTAAGCCCACACCAGTATAATCTGCCCCGCCACTGTATGAAACACCGGCCGGTGGCATTTACGACGATATAATAACCATATAAAACGCGGCTCGACGTAGGCGTCGATAACTGACATTATACAAGTGCCTTTTACCTACAAGTCGACTTTCTACAGTTTGTTTTGAATGTCATTGTACTTTCGCAAACTCAATCTAGCAACGCGAAGCAGGAATTTTCCCTGTTTTGACGAAATAAAAGTAATGTTCAATGGATGGCGTAACAAGCAAGTTTTCATTAGGGGCACAACAGGCACTCAGTGAACAGCGATGAACTTGCCCAGTGGCCACGGCGGAACAACTTTTGTTATTGTTTCGCTTCATTATTGTAATACGAAATACGCCATAATTAAGAGATGCTAGGGAATTGTCCCATCTGATGTAATAGTTCCACAAAAGTTAGACAACTTTTCTGACAGGATGTTTGGTTCGTAAATAATTGCCGGAGTGCTTCTTCTCATAATAAGTTAAAGATAATAAGTTATCGATAGTTATTAGCGCGGAATAGATGGCTATAAGTATGAAAAATGGCCAGCGTCGAACGCTTGGCGTTACGTAAGTATTCTAATTTATTATTCACTTGTCAAAGAAGCTTTTTCTATAGTAAATGTGGATAGTTCAAAGAAATTACATCCAGTACTGTGTACTTAAATATTATAACGCTTGACTCAGATAATAAAGGTCTCATTTTGTCTAGAGTTGGTTTCATAATATTTGTACTACTTACAGCTTACATTAAGGCGCAGTTCAGCCTTTAAGCAAACATCCTCACAAAAACCTGCGAAGCATGTTTAGGAATATGTTCAAACAGTTTATTGGGCCCGTGCCCCCACCCGAAAACAATGTGCGTGTTGTGTTCCAAAGTAAATATGGCCCACATGCAAACGGAGGTGAAGTCTAAGGACTCAATGCAAACTTTCGGCGAGCGAAGAAAATAGCGAGTAAAAGCTGCAAAAAGAATTGGCTCTTCATTTTCTCTATTGTGAAGTTGAATGGAACGCAAACAATCAAGTTTCTCGTCAAGTTGATTGTGTGGAGACACCCTTATTGTCTATTCTCAGGTAAATAAAGTAGAAACACAATTCAGCTGGTACTTTGTGCGTCGGCTTTAACTTTTAAATTCTCTAACTTCAATCTTATTTTGCTTTAGTTCAATTCATGGATGAATACCGAGCAAAAAATCACTTTCACTTCTGCATTTACATTTAAATTCAACGAATACTTATCAGATTTGAGATAGCACTCTCCGAGTTAGGAAAAGATGTTAATGCTTGATTATATACTGACGCACCTTATTGGACGAACCCTTTCTATCCTTATATGACTAAAAGTAAACTTACTTCATTTTTTTGCTTTTCTTTCAACGTTGAATTAGAAATAAACAAGACCATATAAAAGGAGACGAGATCAGGAGTTAGTGGATACCGGTTTTGGCCTACAGAGTTACTGGGTTTGATATTATATGCAAAAATGATTAATGTTTTGTAGGCATAGTAAGCTAATCATGCATCAAAAAAGCAAGAGAATAAACTGTTTGTTGGCGGCCCTAGTTAGAAGAAAAGAAAGTTAGACATCAATAAAAACTTGGCATAGCATTAAAAACAGTACAGGACATAATATGGCCTACAATATTTAAATTTATTCGAACTTCAGCGGAAACAGTAAATAAAGCTAAAGCTATTTTTAGTGTTAATATTATCTTAAAACATAAACAAAATTGGAAACCACATGTGTCACGGGCATTTGTAAATATTTTATTTATAATACCTTTTACACAGCCGGTAGCACAAACATAAAAAATACACGCGGCGAATAGAATTTGTTTTTATACAAATTTGGTTAAATTTTCATTTTCATAAATGAATAATCAACAGCAGTCTTTAACTATATAGAGTTATTTTTGAGTTAAACTATGTACACTTAAGAATTTGTAATAGCTATCATTTTATAATAGGGTCTAGGCAGACGAAATTACTAAGCCCAGATATGGAGCATTGGCAGAAGGATGTATCGAGTCAAGGGGACACCACTGCACTATATTCCCTAGAAATTAGTGGAGCTGAGGGTGAAAGGGAGTTGACGAAGCCAGGGGAGAATAGAGGAAGTTTACCAAAGACAGGACAGAGTGGAGGAACTTCAGCGATCAAGAGTGCGACTGAAGAAGAATCATATTATATAATAAATTCGTTTCTGACAGATATAACGTCTGCAGGTGCTCTCGAAGGAGATCGTTTTAATGTTAGTTTAGGACGTTGCGCGAACTTTGGCAAATGCTTAACCTATTTATCTTAGCAATACTTACCTCCATACCCTTCACTTAAGTAGTTATAATTATTATAAGGGATATTCCGTCCCTAGTAGTGATTACATAACAATAAATTTATCGTAGCGGTGTCACGAATCACATACTCGTATATTAAATATTATAGCACTTTATAGTGTTATTTTGGTATAACTTTATGTTTAAATGAAATTAATTTTATTTGTATGCATATAAAGTCAGTCAAGAGCAAAGTTGGCCTAGTGGCGTGTGACTCTCATCCCTGAGGTCATAGATTCGATCCCCGGCACCAATGGACTTTCTATGTGCGCATAAAACATTCGCTCGAATGGCGAAGATATACTTCTTGCCTTAGACCCAAATGTCGATTGACGGTGTGTGTCAGGCACGCACGGCAGGAGGCTGAACATCTACTTGCCTATTAGATTGACGAATGATCATGAAATAGATACAGAAATCTGAGGCCTATACCTAAAAAGGTTGCAGCACCACTGCTTTATAAAGTCAGTTTCATATAAAACAATATGAGTCATATAGTTGGCATTGTTGATGTGTCGAAACCAACATCAATGTATGTTATTTATCGCTAATCAGTGCAATTAGCCGTGTTATCAATTTATCATGTTACATCTGAATGGACATATGGGTTGTACATGCGTTTGTAGGACGATTCCAAATTGATTGTTTTAGTAAACATAATATTATTCGTGTTACGAGCCGCCATGAAATTTAACAACCACATTATGTGATTTATTTTAACTGTTAAAATATGGGTTATTTAAACTAGTTGTATGTTGTGTTAAATGTAATGGTATTTTTTATTACTTGCGATAAAACAGTCAATACTTAGACTTATTGAAACTGCCAAGAATGGTTTAACATATAAACGTATAAAAAATTTAAAACTACGCTTATATAAGTTTAGATGCTATGTCGATATATATCATCGCCAGTATATATCTAAGATAATAGCTAAAGTTGGCCATTTTGTCCTGAAAACTACCCTTAACTATTTTTAAATAGAAATCTCAAATCCACTTCTCTAGCTTCGTATACTTCGATAATCCTGAATAAGTCGGTCCATTTCCTTTGTAAAGCTTCAAGGCAATTTCCCTGATTATTTGTAATCCTTCATAAAGATATTAGTAGAAGAGGAGTGCATTGTACAGTGTAATGAGGTCCAACTTGGCATCACAGCAGGGCTTCTCATTTCTTTAATTACATTTTCTTTTATGCTCTACGTAGCTACTGAAATTATTTTTATTTAAATTATTTCCACTACATTAATCATGTCTTACAAGAGATATTTTTAATAAATTTACCTAACCCGATTGCGCTTGAATTAGACTAAGAAGTTTCACGTTCAGAAAATTTTTGATTAGCACCAACGCAAGTGCTTTGTTGAATTATGTTATGGCTTTAAATCATATAAGTTTATCTATCCAAAATATTCTCTTCAGGTTAAAAAAATTACTATTATTATGAAATTTTCACTTAACTTAAAGACTTACTAGTATCTCTACTATGCTGCAAGAGTGTATATTAAAAAGCTATACAAGATCAAGATATGGATGTTGCGGTCATTCGGGATTGCACCAGATCGTCGAGTGAGCTTCGTAATCCCACGGGAAGGCGTGCTCGAGACGAGAGCGATGGGATTTGTGGGATCATCGGATGTAACACTAGTATACTTGTTACTATTCTCTATGTAACTATGTATCAAATGTCACCATTTTTATTGTATTAAGAGATAGCCCATATCCCTTGAGTTTTATTTTATTTCTTTTGTCTCTTTCATAAATTAAGAATAAGTTTTATTGAATTAAGTTTTTGTTCCGGTTATCTATCTAATTCTCGTATTAAGGATGTAAAAATTTTAAAATTTTAGGCACGTAATTATTAAATATCTAAAACTAATGGTAAGTACTCATTAGTCTCTTTATAAAGAACATTTAGATAGAAAGACTTAGTTCAGTATATCCTAAAAATATAGTTATGTTTTCAGAAATTCCCAAACACGGTCAAAAGATAAAACTCAAATAAGCGCAAAGTATCTCTATCCGTATGTCAATTTTATTCATCCTCACATAACGCTTTGTCCCACACAGGATTTGTACACAATATGCACTATGCAGGTACCAATACAAGTGGTTCACAATAAGAGCAGAATGTATTTGCCGAGCGCGATTATGCGTCTGTGGATCTCGGTGTAAGCGACTATTGTAGGTGCTGGATAATATCCATATCGTATCCTCAGATAATGCATTGCAACGTTTGCTATGTAACACCTAACACCTACTTAAAAGAAATTACACTATGCGTATGGCATTTTCTGTTTTAGTGCAAAAAGCCGAACCTCAATTATTTCTTGAAATGTTTATGTTGCCTCATTGTGAAATTCTGGTGTGTATATTGAATGGGGGGAATTCCATCCTATCCTAGTCATAATCTAGAATCAGTCAAAAATATGCATTCAATAATGAAGTTAACTTTTTAGTTAAACATCTCATCAAAGTTCAAAATCATTCATTTATTCAGGTAACAATTAACACTCATTAGCGTCAATAAAGAAATACATATTAATTGCTTCTAATTTTACATTTACTGCCAGTTCTCAAATCAAGGGCGTAAAATGGACGAGAAGAACTGGCAATAAACTCTCCACCGCTTTTATAGAAAAGTAAAATGATAGTTTTCTTTGTGTTATTATTGTCTACACAAGTTAAAACAGCCTTGTAATACCAGGGTTATAACAATTTGAGGAGATGAATTAGCGTCCTATACCTTTATTGGTCTGATTGCAAGTTTCGGAAAATGCAATAAAGTTTATAAGAGAGAGTTAACTGGTGCTGTAATAGTCAAGGTAGGTTTTACGATCCGACTTTGCATATCCTGACAGATGTTCTAACAATAAACCAGCCGCGTGGGCATTGTAAACTAACGTCACAACTTTTATGGTCATGTAAGGTAAGAAGCTTAATCTAAGTATGTATGAACTTGCACCTGACAATATAAATAGTTTGCTTTTAATGTATTTTTCTTATATAAAATTGTTTTACTGTTGTATTAAAATGTGCGACTTTTATCCATGAGGTCGTAGGTTCAATCCCCGACTGTGCTTCAATGGACTGACTTTCTATGTACGCATTTAACATTCGCTCGAACGATGAAGGAAAAAATGAGGAAGGCGGTCTGTTGTTTGTCTTAGACCCAAAATGTCGACAGCGTGTATCAGGCACAGGAGGCGGATCATTTATTTGCTTATTAGATTGACAAATGATCACCAAATCTGAGGCCCACGCCTAAAATGGCTGTAACGCCACTGTTTTTTTTGTAGTGAATAGATACGGGCGTGGGGCTATCAACAGCATCTCTAGTCCAAACACTGTTAAGTATGCGTCATGCAGTTTGGCCAAACACATTCAAACTATACGTGCGATCTTTAAGTTGGCGCCTGGTAGATAGTACCGGTGACCACAGGATAGCTGGCACTTTCCTGGCTCAAAGAATAAGTCTCGCAATACAGCGAGGAAATGCTGCCAGCGTTAAAGGTACACTGCCACAGGGACCAAACTTTTTAAATTTGTTTTGATTTTCTTCTTTCTTCTTTAATTATTTTTATTATTACTTTATAGGTTAAGAAAATTGTAAATACTGTATTTGTGTAAATAAAATCTTATTTAATTTGATTCCTCATTATAAATAAAATGTCATTTTCATATCAATTTTATATTAGTCAATAAAGCCTAAGTAGTGAGTAATTTAAACAAATGTGATGGTCTAAGCCAACAAAATTTAGTGCATATAACGGAAGCTAATGAATAGTTGATTTGAAACTTTTAGCATGTGGCTTACGCGAAAACGGATGAAATTGCTAAAATTGATTTCACAGACATTCACCGAGCGCAGAGCAGAGCCAGTGACATATTTTATCTTCACTATTTATGATACGAAAAAGTTTTTGTTATTTTTCAACCAAAATATTTCGTCTGGGCTTAGCCTTCGCTTATAAAATGTAAATACGGGCTATGAAATATTTGATCATTCATAGAGCTTTGTTCTCTGAGGTCTTTGTTTATGTGAAAACGAAAAAGCAATTTTTTTAACTTAATAGGATCGTACAATGTTTTGTTTGTCACATGGGAATTAATATATTTCGAGTGAATGTTGATGTTTTTAACGGCGCATTGATCCTTTACTTTTATAATAAAAATTATTACAGAGGCTAACAGAGATTACGATTTTAATCAAACTAGATTCTTCCTAGTTCACTGTTAATTAATAACACACACACAGTTAATTTTACATATGTAAACTTAAAACTTTGGAACTAAATCAGTTAAAAACTTTTATGCAAATGAAACGCTAATAAACTCAAAAATGTAAACTCAAAGTTGATTTAAAATTCGATGCCCCTTCACATTTAAATTTGAAAAGTTGCCTCGTCCATTCGTGCCGACATTAAAAGGGGTATTACTTATGAATCAATAGTTAATGAGTATCAATGGAGGCTTTTGAAACTTGAAGGCTCTGTGTGCAGTCTCCGCGCATCATTAATATTGAAACTTACTCCTCAGTCCATTGTCTCTAGAGTGGTCTGTCTTTATACCTAAAGTCCGCCAGCGGAAACGACTGCTCATTTCCTTTGCGCGAAGTTTTCCTTAATATTATATTAGCTTTGAAATAATATTTCCGTTCATTGCATTTAAAATGATGCAGCTTATTTATACTGGTTATGAGAAAGTACACGTTTTAGTTGCCTTAACATTTCCAGCATTAATTAAATTGTAAAGGCTGTGTAATTTGCTCTTGAATGTAAACATCTTTTTGATTAATTTCGTTGAGCAATATTATAAATAGAGCAGTGTTGGCCTAGTGGCTTCAGCTTGCGACGCTCAAACCTAAGGTCGTAGGTTCGATCTCCGGCTGTCCACCAATGGACTTCCTTTCTATGTGCGAATTTAACATTTGCTCGAACGGTGAAGGAAACCGACATGTCTTGGCACTGGAG